GTGGTTGGGTGGGAGAATTGGAGAAAGGCCAGACAAACTCGATTTTGGGTGCGGGAGCTAGGGGGTGTTTCCGAAAACAATTTGGATCTAGAGTCTCTTAAGTTCTGGAAAAGATTTGTTGTTTTACCCAAGCACTCACAAAAATTGTTTCAAAACATGTAACTGAGAATCATGGATAATCAATATATAACAACCTTAAATTTGCATTTGAGGCAGCAAATAATATTAGGTTCTCCCACTCTGATCTCTTTTGGGGAGCTTTGCTCGCCCCAGAAAATATTTATATTTTTGATGGTCAATTAATGACAGCATTTCTGGAATTTTCTGGAGCATTCACAAGGGTAACAAGTAAATGAGAGGACTGTTTTAATTAAGGCTATTTTTGTTAGTTTGGTGACTGCACATTTGTGGTTTAAGAACTGCACAAACAGGTTTAGAACTGCACATTTTGTGTAGAACTGCACGTTAAAATAAACCCCGAGAGTTGAGATCGTAATTATTCTTTTAATATACAGTATGACCAATACATGCCAAAGAATATTCAAATCATATCTTATATTCATCAGCCTTTTTATATGGAAAACATATAAAATATTAGTTTGTGGTCCCTTAGGTCAGACAGAATGTCTAGTGGTTCCCTCCCTGACGTCAGACAATTTGATGAATGGGTCGGACAATTTGACGAATGGGTCGGACAATGTCTGTGACTGACCGATATTTCAAGTAAAATGAGTAAAAACCGGTGTAAAATTGTCTGGCATTAGATAGAGTGAAATAATATGCTAGGGCCATCGTTGATTCAGGCGCATCAGGGCACTTTGCCACTTAAAGGTTAACAGGATGCTTGCATGCATGGGCAGATCGGATTATCGCAGTGCTTTCCCTTTGATGAGTGAAATTGTCTGGCGTTAGACAGAGTAAAATAATAAACTAGGATGCATCAGGGCACATTGCCACAAAGGGTTAAACCTTAATTTAATTAAAGTGGCAATGCCTCCCACTTTATTATTTTACTCTGGCTAATACCAGATGATTTTACTTGTCAGGGGAAAGTGCTGCCACTCAATGGGTTAATTGATTTTTTAATCTTCAAAATTGTTGCAGCTGTCAAAATCACAGGTAAACATTATTTAAGATTATTGAATTTAATTGGTGACAATTCATCTAGAAATAAAAGGAGTTGTACATTTACTTGAAGTAATGTTGTATCAGACATACAACCTCTTAGTTTCACTTAGGTGGGACAGAATGTCCAGTGGTTTCCTCTCTACGTAAGACAAATTCAAAAATGGGTCGGACAATGTCCTTAACCAACCGATATTTTAAGGCCTGTGACCATGCTATGCTAATAAACCACCACTACTCCAGTGTGAAGAACGCATGACATTCAACATCACATTCAATATCACATTCAATATGGTGTTGACTCACTCATTTCAATTACTCAGAAGTAAAAATGAAAAATAGCCATTTCTTCGTCTTCCAAATGAATCGGAAAGAAATAAATCATACCGTTCTTATTAACTAATTAAAACCTTAAAGGTTTATTGCACACAAACCAACAAATGCACCTCAAAGCAGTCCAAAAAGTGCCAATTAAACCTGGTGCCAAATATAGGCTATACTAAAAACCTATCAATACTAGTGGGACTTACTTAGGGACTTGCGTCCTATTGTCCTTACCATTGGTCATTTGATTGTAAAGTTAATTAATAAATAAAAAAAGACATACTTCTTAAATATATAAATTACAAGCCCGCTATTCTATAGAATTTTCTTAAATATATTGTATAAAATTATATGCTCTTTCACATAAGTAGTGATAAGTGGTACAAGCCTACAAATGAATGAAAATCCCACTCAAGTAGAACTGTATTACACATGTCAATATGTCATATATTAAGCCAATTAAATGTGATGTGAAGAACTCCCTGTCAAGTTGTAAATATCAGGCCTGCTATACTGTAGGATTTTCTTAATATTTCATATATTGTACAAACTTATATGCTCTTTCAATTGGTTACTTACACGTAAGTGGTGCAAGCCTGAAAATGAATGAAAATCCCACTCAAATTAGACTGCATTACGTGTGTGTAATATATTAAGCCAATTATACTTTGCAGCGGCACGTTTGTTGGTTTGTGTGCAATAAACCTTAAGGTTTCAATTAGTTAATACGAATGGTATGATTTAGTTTTTCTAATTCATTTGGAAGAGAAGAAATGGCTATATTTTTATTTTTACTTCTGAGTGATTGAAATGAGTGAGTTCGCACCATATCGAATGTCATGTTGAATGTCGTGCGTACTTCACAGTGGGTATTATTAATAAACCGGTATCTAACACTGGGAAAAATAATGAGTGTAGAGAATTTCTCAGAAAAAAGTATACCCCTTGAAATCAAGCCTCTGTTGGAATTTGAATGCCTTGTGTGTTTAGCATAGTAATATGGCATTCAAATTCCAACAAAGGCTTGATTTCAAAGGGTATACTTTTCTGGGGACACCGTGTACGTATGAACATTGCAAGGTATATAGTACAAACATTTACATTCACAGTAAATGTTTGTACTGTACAGACGTTTATGCTGGCGAAGTTCTAAAGGTTTCAAGCTATCAAGGTATACTAACCTCTGGGTGTACCATTCTTGGTTTTTTAAATCGATTCTTTGCAGTAATTTAAAATAGTTTATTAATTAAAAACTTTATGACGCCCTTCTTTTCTGATATTTTTGACACCCCTTTAGAAATTTTGGGACCCCTCCCCCCTAGATTATGTGCAATATAAATGGCGAAGGAAATGTGTATAACCGAAATGTGTCGACAAAGAACCGCAGACCTCCAACTCTCACGCATTTTGCGTGAGACACACGCATTTGACATATTTCTCACGCTCACACGCATAAACACTATTTTCTCACGCAAAATAGGAAGCGATCCAACTTTTGTTTTAACGCTTCTCTTCGCAAGCAAATATTCCTATTTAGCTGAACCAATAGCTATAGAATAAAGTATTTCTCGAGCAGTTGCTGTGTAACGTATAGTATTGCGTAAGGTTGTTGTAATATTTCTGTCGCTGTAATAGAGTCCTATAAAATCACACATTTCTTTCCGTCTTACCTAACGGCGTAACAGTATAATATAATGGTCACCAATAAGAATTAGCCAAGTTTTACCATGGAAGCATTTCTTTAGGTGGATCTATTTTCTCAGTTTTTCTATACTTTGTTGTCTGCTAGCACAAACTATATCGGAACCACTAGCTACGTTTAAGCCCGAGTGCTAGTCTGGTTATTATACCTGTTATAGCTAGCCCAATACGGGCTTCAATTCTGGCTCTTTTCATTACTTGTCATTAGTTAGTTGTACCGGACTAGTGTCAATAACTGCTTGGTTGAGCTTCTCAGGATCTCCATTAACTCCGTTTGTGGTTTTAAAGGTTCTGGCTGGTTTGCTGGTTATATATAAGGGTCCACCTTGAATTGAAAATTCATAGTCGGTTATCATATCGCTGTGCTGAGTGGTTATATTACTACCTTAAAAAAAAAGCAGAAAAGCGACGTTTCAAGCAAAAACTCACGCTCGAAACGTCGAGTTTCTGCTTGTTGTTGTTTTTTAAGGTAGTAATATAACCACTCAGTACAGCATTTTCACATTGGTACTTATAGGTCGTTAACTCAATCTCTGCCATATATACTGTGATGTCAAACTTTTAACACGTAAGCATCTAGCTTATAAATAATTGGCTTTTCTAAATACGTGGCATTCTTCTGAAGATGACTTAAATTATAGTCGAAACGTAAAGAATTAATGTTTACAATATTCGGAGTGTCTATTGTTTTGTGTTTTATTAATTTGCGTACCTACTTGTGCCGTCGCTTAAGGTGGCTCGATACAGTTTTTAAAAATGGAGAATTTGCAATTCAGATCCGTACTTTTGGACAAGTATTACTTGTTGAAAAACAAAAAGCATCTTACTTAATATGTAAAACAACTTCTATAGAGTTTGAAAATTTTCACAACAAAAAAGTTGTGCAACTGTCGTTGCTATGGGAACAATGGCGTTTCAATATGGCGGATATTTTGGCTTTAAAGTATTTTAACTCGTAAATGGCATTAATGACCCCCAATTTTATTACATAAAATGATTTCTCTTAGTATACTGAATTATTTTGAATATTTAAAAAAAATTTCGTTGAGAAAATATTATTCAAATTACTTATGTGATTATATTATTATAATAATTTTTTTGGCTGAACAGATTTTTTTAAAATATGTCAAGATAATTAAGTATACTAAAAGAAATCATTTTATGAAATAGAATTTGGGGATCACCGATGTTGTTTTCGGGTTGAATTACTTTAAAGCCATAATATCCGCCAATGATCTTGAAACTTTATTGTTGCCATAACAACGGCAATTGTGTAACTTTTCTGATAAAATTCGAACTCTTTTAGATGTTGTTTTACATCAGTAAGATACTTCTTGTTTTTCAACAAGTAATAATTGTACAAAAATACGGATCTAAATCGTAAGTTTTCCATTTTTTTAAAAAAAACTGTAGGTCATGATACTCACCCGTGATTTTCATCTGAAATATGCCGCAAACTTCGTAGTCGTTGTCTGAGGGGTTTTGGTGGCACAGTCATCGGAGCAAGCGCGTTTCACGTCCAAGGGTGGGTAGTAGCGAAGTAGTTGTAGTTCGCTACTGTAGCGAACTACAATTTTCAAGTAGCCAGTAGTTTTTGACTACTTTTTCAAAACAGTAGCTGTAGTTATAGCGAACTACATTTTGCCTAAAAGTAGCCAAGTAGTTGACTACTTTTCAAACAGCAAATCGCTATTCGCTACTTTTTAAAATTGTTAGCAACTTGATAGAATAGAATGTTATTAGGACACAGTTTGCTTAAAATCAATACTCAATTTGCACCAATAAAGTATACCGTGCAACTGTTCAAACTGTGCAAGTGCATGCCGTCTTATTTACTCGCGTAAGTCGATTTGTTATAGGTTACGTTACAGCCTGAGCTATAGTAGATGTTCCATACAGTAAAATTAAAAAATATTGAGTAGCGAAATAGCGAAATAGTTCGCTACATTTTTTAAGCAGTAGCTGTAGTCAGTAGCGAACTACTTTTGTTCAAATGAAGCAGTAGTTGTAGCTGACTACATATTTTTGAAGTAGCTGTAGTTATAGCGAACTACAAAAAATTTGTAGTCAACCCACCCTTGTTCACGTCTGAGATCGTGAGTTCGATTCTCGCTACGGACACATGTGAAAAGAGTGAGTCAACGCTCTGTCGAAAGTCGTGGGTTTTCTCCGGGCGCTCCTGTTTCCTCCCACAGGGAAAGTTGACAGGGTGGGTTAGAATAAGTATAGGTAATCCTGCGATGGCAAGTACAATTAGGGATTAATAGTACGAGAGATGTTTGGAAATTTTGCCATCCAGTAATTTTGTCATGCTAATAGTAAACACAGTTAGTATAGGTAATCATGCGATGGCGAGTACAATTCGGGATTAATAGTACGAGTGATGTTTGGAAATTTTGCCAAAATTGGACGAGACGCCGGGGCGAGTCCAATTTGGCAAATTTCCAAACATCATGAGTACTATTAATCCTTAATTGTACGAGCAACATCGCATGATTACTTGTTTATTATTAGCATGACAAAATTGGATACGTACTTCTCAATGTTACTGACATCATATTCTCTCGCCAAAGCCCAGTCCTGCCGGACTTTCAACCAAAATTTGAAGCTTTTGTTTGTATTAATTCATTTAGTTCTTTTGTTAAAGCAAAATTTGGTGCTTTTGTTCGTATTTTCATCTAGTTCCTCCACGACAATTTCATTTCACGCTTGTGTTTAAAATACGTTTCCGCCATTTTGTTTGTTTTGGGAAAATCATTAATTGTACTGCAGTACAATTAATGAAATAATTGTACTCCTCTCAACCAATCAGCATCCAGTAACTTTGTCATGCTAATAATAAAGAAAGTAACATCCAGGCCTTAAAATAAAGGTGTTCCGGTTTCCTCCCACAGGGAAAGTTGACAGGGTGGGTTAGGATAAACACAGTTAGGAAAGTAATATCACAATTGTTGTAAAAATTAATAGTCTAAGCTTAGTACGTAATATAAGTAAGCGTAATACTCAGGGACGCCGGAACTGGGGGCAGGCGCCCCCCTTGCCCTTTGCTAGGGGGGGCAGAAGTGCCCTTTTAGTTTTAAAATACTACGTGATAAATCACATTTCCAACGATGCTTTTTGTACGAAAATTGTGAGATTCAGGCAATTTATAGTTTATTTTTGACTTTTGGTATGTCCGGAAACATTTTTGACCCCTAAAATGGTACACAGACCGAATTTTTTTTGGCGACGGGGGGGGTTGGGGGAGGGGGGGAGGTCGCCCAAAATTTTCGAGTGAAAAAAAGGTTTCCGGTTGATTTTGAAGTTTTGCTCTATAGAGGTGCCCTTGGTGTGCGTCCGCACCCCTTTGCCTTATTACCGTTCCGGCGTCCCTTTTAATACTTGATGTAATCTGTCACTGAAAATCCCCGATGAAGAGTAAGCTGATAATCATAAATTCATAATCATGATATGTGCTTGTCGTTCATAATACTATAGAACCAAACTTGTCGATATTTTTACCAAAGTACCGTTTTGTTCCCTCCCTTCGACGCTTTTTCTACCGTCAAGTCGCAGCACATTGCTTTACATTTCAAAATTGTACAAATTGGAAAACAGAAAATTGTATAAGCATGGGCAAAGGTGGCACTCGTCATAATTGTATAATGGGAATGGCCACCAGCTCGCATCAACTTTGGGGAATCCTATAATGAGAAACTAATATGCAACAAATAGTGCCCTTTATATTTCAAAACCCCAATCACTGCGGTGAAAGACGTATGCAGTAATCCAGTATACCACTCAACCTCGGAACGAGGTTGCATACCACTAACCTATTATATCTCCCTAGCTTGGCGCAAGTGATGCTGACAGCCTGACACAATTGGTCATGTTTTGGGAAACAAACCAGAGACGATTGAATCCGACGTGAAAGAAAAAGATCAGTCTAAACTTCTGAGAAGAAATCAAAAGAAGAATCATCCTCGTCCAAGAGACCAAGAGAAAAGCTGTTGAAGTATTTGAACTTCCTGGTATACAGACGGAAACACCACCCAAGGTTCTGATAGCTGTGACACTACGGGAAAAAAGGCGATCAAAATATATTTATTTTGATATGTGTCTGCATGTTTGTTTGACGCCATATTAATTTACATTTTACAGCGCCTCTCTTCAATCGAAGATGTATTTCAGGAGCACTCGTTCACTTGTCAATGAATCCAAGAATGACTATTATTAATACATATTAATTAGTATACTGTATTAAATATTGAACTGTCTGTGCCAGTGTAGGTGGGGATCCAACTACCTGAAAATCATAACGAGAAGAATTACGACGTTTCGAGCGAAGGCCCTTCGTCTGGAGTTA